CAGGAGAAAATAAAAAGGGTCTGGCGGGCTGCAGACCTGGTCCGCAATTGGCTCCTGGGTTAAAATCCCACCAAGTGAAAAGTCCTGAAGATTGAGGAGGGCAAAAAAGGGCCCAGAGGGAGTACAGTCGGGGGGGCCAGAGCTACAAACCTCACTAAGGGGAAAAAGATCTTGGGTGAGTATAACACCAGGCACATCTCCTAAGCCACATCAACCAAAAACGCGCAGCTTGGGGCCCTGGAAAACCTCGAACAGCATCCGACATCTTAAAAAGGGAAAATTTCGGGGACCCTGTACACCGTGTACGTTAGGCCCATTTTGGGTATGGGGCCCCGTTTGGAACCCACCCTGCCAACCCTTTAAAGAAACTAGAGAAAGTGCAAAGGTTTCCCACAAGACAGCCCCAGAGCTAAGAGGTAGCCCCTACGAGAGAGGAAAGGGAAATCAATCGACACCTGGGGGACAGAGAGATAGGGGGGGACATGATAAGACAAAAAAATACTGGGGGGAATTGAAAAGGGGGGACAAAGCGGGATTTTTCAGAGCTGGACACAGCAACAAGGGAACAGTTGGAACTGAAGACACAATGAATCACAGGGATGTTAGGAAGTATTTTTAGCCACAGGTAGTCAGAAGGGAATATTTTGGGGAAAAGCGATGTAGTGGAGGCAGGATCCATACATAGCTTTAAGCAGGGTCGATAAAGCTCACGTTCAGGGAGAGCGACCTAGGGGGCGACCAGTAAAGAGGGGGGGCCAGGAGCTTGGACTCGCCCTGCAACCTAACTGGGTGAGTACAAAACACACACACACACCCCGCACACACCACAACACACAAACCACACCACAAAACCACACACACACAAAAAACCAAACACACACACACAACCAATCAAAGGCTTCTGAGTCTACAAAAAACACCAAAAGTTCCAGCACTGAATCGACGTTTCTATCATAAAAAAAAAATTTTAACGGGAGAAAACAAATAAAAGTAATTTTGTAAAATTTAACCAATGAACAATTTTTATAGAAGCTTCGTTCACTTTAATAATTTTTTTAAAAGACACTGATTTGTTATTGAAATTTTTAATTAGTTCTTTTAAATTTAGACAATGTAATTTATTATAAAATATGAGCAAAGTTATTTTTAAATATGGAGAAATAAGACGAATAAAAATTTTTAAACGTATAACAAAATTAAGTTTCAATTTGGAAATGGGAATAAAATTTAATTTTTATAGCAAAAAAAAAGGAAGATTACTCCAGTTCCACGGAAATAAGCCCTTCACGGAAAAGCACATTCAAAGGGGAAGGGAAACGTCAAGTGTACCTAGATTTTATTTTATAAAGAGCAAAATCGTGTGAGTCCTTCATGGGAAGGGGTGAAGGGCCCATACTAAATTCATAACGGGGCCCCAGTCTCGTAAAAACCAGCAACACAAACACAACACTTCGGGCTCACAAACAACAGCAACACAGAACACAACACTTTATCTCACAAACAACAGCAACACGAAAACAAACTTTTATCTCACAAACACAGAAAACAGAACACAAAATTCTCTCACAAACACACAGCAACACAGAAAACAACACTTTGTTCAAAACCACACAACACAGAACACAAAAACCCCACCCCCACAAACACAAACAAACAGAACACAACCCCTTTGGTTCACAAACACACAAAAACAGAACACAACATTTCCCCTCTCACAAAAACAGCAAACAGACCAAAAACTTTTAGTCTCACAAACCCAGCAACACAGAACACAAATTCTCTCACAAACACAGCAACACAGAAACAACATTCAGTCTCACAAAACACAGCAAAACAGAACACAAACTTCAGTCTCACAAAAACCCCAGAACAAGAAAAAAAACCCTCGTCTCACAAAAACAGCAAACAGAGCACAACACTTTAGTCTCACAAACACAGCAACACAAACAAACATTTTATCTCACAAACACAGCAAAAAAACACAACACTTCAGTCTCACAAACACCAACACGAAAACAACATTCAGCTCACAAACACAAACAACACAAGGGACAACACTTCAGTCTCACAAAACACAGCAACACAGAGAACACTTTAGTCTCACAAAAACACAGCAACAACAAACACAAAAAACTTGTTCCAAAACACAGCAACACAACACAACACTTCAGTCCCCACAAACCCCAGCAACACGAACCAACTTCATCTCCAAACACAGCAACACAGAGCACAACACTTTTGTCTCACAAACAACACAACACAGAGCCAAAAACTTCAGTCTCACAAACACAGCAAACAAAAACAAAACATTCCCGCTCCAAACCAGAACACAGGAACACCACTTACCCAAAAACACAAAACAAACACAAAAACCAGTTAAAAAAAAACAAAAAAATTTATTAAAAAAAAAAGAAAAAATTCGTTCCAAAAAACAGCAAAAGAGCAAAATTTCACAAACCACGAACCCAACAAAAAATATTTCCCCAAAAAAGGAAAAAAC